CATTAATAGAGTCCTCAAGGGCATTTCTTGCCTGTAACCCTTAAATATACATTTACATATTCCCATCATATTGGTTTGCACGTACACCATGGCATATACAGGGTGTTCCAAAAAATGTATACACATTTTAACTAATTGTAAACTTGGTATTTATTGTAGATTTATTATTTAAAAAGTGTAAAATTCTTAACAAGTAGCATTTTATTGTTTTCTCACTGCATGTTCTCAAACTGGCATCCATTTAATCCACACACTGCTGAAAATGCAAAGTAATGGAATCACACACACCATAAAACAATTCCATTTGTATTTGGACGCATTCATGTTCAACGGCCTCTCTCTTTCTCAATTATTTAAAGTTAAGTGGAAATTCAGTGGAAAAACACTAAATGATACATCTTAATACTTTTGCATTTTTGAAATTACATTTTTGAAGTTACAATTGTTCAAAATGTGTATACATTTTTTGGGACACCCTGTATTAAGTCTTTATTGAACATATTCTCAGTGGAATGCACGATGCACCCTTCTTCAAATGGTAGTTTGTGATATCAGCGGCTTTCGCATGCATCGGCTTCTTCACATTGAGCAGTTTCAAACGGCAGCCTTTACAGGGTCGCTAATACCCCATAAGATCACCACAGATGGATATGTGTAGTTAACCCGCTGCATCATCTTCGGACGGGGATGGCTGAGTTATCGTTCATGTCGGTGGATCATGACATTGATATGTCCACCGTAGAAATGGACATTGACGAAAAGGTCTCTGAATCGTCATGTGTAGAACAAAACACTACAGAAGACGTTCCAAACTTCGAAAGGGTTTGTGACATTCTTTTCTCGAGTTCGGTCGTAGATCGAAAAAAACATTGAAAATTTCGCCGAACAAATTGAGTATGTGATATTTCATCTTAGTTTCAATGTTAAGACGACGAACTGGCACCGAAACGGTCGAAATATGTGAAGAAACTGTCAATCCTCATGGTAAAGTGAACGCGGAGGACTTTAACGTCCTGAAGGTTATCGGAAAGGGGGGCTATGGAACAGTTGTCTTGTTATTTTAATTTAACACTTTTTGAAGGTGTTTTTGGTGCAGAGAGCCACCGAAAGCAGTGACAAAGGAAAGTTCTACGCAATGAAGGTGCTGAAAAAAGCCAGACTCGTTTGTAATGAGAAAAATACTGCTCATACCGTGTCAGAACGGAACATCCTTGAAGTTTTAAGAGTGAGCTCGTGCATCATTCTTATCTTTAAAGCATCCATTCCTAGTTCGTCTGCACTATGCTTTTCAGAATCGGTCGAATTTGTACATTGTACTAGAGTATTGCCCTGGTGGTGAACTCTTCCGTTACCTAGAACGTGAAGGCTTTTTAATGGAGGATGCAGCGTGTTTTTATATATCTGAAATAGCACTAGCAATTGGTCATTTGCATTCTCTCGGGATCATCTACCGTGATTTAAAACCTGAGAACATTCTGCTTGACAAAGCGGGCCATGTCAAACTGACGGATTTCGGCTTGTCAAAAGAAGGTGCTTGTACAACGAACACTTTCTGTGGAACAATTGAATACATGTAATTTTAAGAATTTCTCCTTATCACTGATAGGGCTCCCGAGATCATTCGGTGTGCTGGCCATGGAAAGGCCGTCGATTGGTGGAGTCTCGGAACTCTACTGTTTGACATGCTCTCGGGCGGGGTAATTTTTCTCAATTTTTACCTTACTACAGCACACTAGCCTCCATTTAGTCAAGAGGAGAACAAGAAAGCCACCGCGGAGAAGGTAAACCACGTTTTGCATTTCACGATTTTCTTGCAGATTCTTAAAAGCCAGGTCAAGTTTCCTCCCTCATTTTCTACTGAGGCAATGAGCCTAATACGTGGGCTTCTGAAGAAGGACCCGAAAGAAAGACTCGGAGCAAAGAATGATGTTGAAGAAATCAAGCAACATCGATTTTTTAAGCGTTACGTGAGTCTATGCAAAGAAGTTTGCGACTCAAATGCAATAATAGGCACCTTTTATTCGACTTGAAGAGGCTGTCCTGAAAGTTTTGGTCCACCTTCCTGTTGATATTTAGTTTTAACTGAACCTGATAATCTGGTTTTGGCAAAACACCTTATAGGAACAACAAATATAGGTTAATTTTGTTAACTAATTTCTCATCCGTCCAGTCTTTGCTCAGTCAAGAAACACTTAATAGAAGGTGTTAGAGTCTGCTCCACAGAGCATTTTTGGGTACATTATATATTACCAGAGTCTAAATCACTAACAAATCCTCCCAACATAATTGACAAGAAAATCCCCGAAATAAATGTCAATTAATTTGTTCAAATAAGCGGTTGTTGAGGCTTTCGCTTGTACTAAAAATCCCCAGGATGGCTACTAAGTGTTGCGACCTGGTAAATCATGAATGGTCGACATCTTAATAAGTACCAGTGCACAACTCCAAACAGGTTTACGTTTATTTTAAGTGCTTTTTATAGTCTTGGTTGCGCTTTGCAGCAAGTTTTCCATTCTTTTACTCCTACATCCATAGGGTTATTTCCTACTAGAATTGATCAAAATAGAAGTTCCTCGGTTTTTTTTTTAAGTTCGTTTTTTGCCTTTGCATGCGTAGCAAATTTACTTTATGAAGTTATTGATCAAATACTTTTTCCTTTCTTTTGTAACCTGACTCAAGGACGTGAATTGGACAGACGTCTATGATCGAAAAATGGAGCCACCTTTCCGCCCTGAGCTGCTATCTGATTCAGACGTTTCCATGTTCGATCCTACCTTCACTGGCTTGCAACCCATCGTCAGTCCGGGTAACGCCGACGAGTCCGTCCCTGGCGATCTATTTCAGGTGAATTTTCCCTTTATTCGTAACCTTTAATGGATACCAAGACAAATAGTTCACTTCTGTTCATAGGAACTATTCCGTTTTGAAAGCAGAACTGCAAATGTTCAATATCCTTCTATCACTTTTTACGTGATTACGGTTCTGACTAGCTTCTAATTTACTTATTTGCTTGATGGAATGGGTACTACTGCACCTTGTACAAGTTACAATATATATGCGAGGCAATACCTGTCAGAAACGGAACTAAAGACGGTCCACCCTGATCCCACCGGTGAAAAAGTTGCACCTGAAATCCGTATTTGATGCAGAACGGTCTCGCAGGCCAACGTTTTCTTAAGTGGGAACTCCGTATTTCCTTAATATTGGTCCTTCGTACGGACGGCAAAGGACAATTCCGTTGTTGGATGTCCAAGTTGTTGCGCGTTTACTTTTTAGAATGACATTTCGTAACCTCGATAGTGTATTAATTTAATAGCCGTTCAGACTTTCCATTTGACGGCTGCTCCAAACTTGGACAATCTAAAATACTTTGTGGCAGGCCTAGGTTAAGCCTATGTGATTTATCAGCCGTTATACCTGATCTCACTCTCACCCCTTAGTATTACCATTTTAACACCATGAGTATTCGAGCACGGTTAAATCGTTGTTGCTCGGTTTTTCCGTTTTTATTCTCCCCGAAAAAATCCGCCACAGTGGTCTTCCTTACTGAGGTCGGCAGAAAAATCATCTTGTGTTCTCGGCTGCCAACTGAGAGATTGAGCTTTTGAGTACTTTAGGTCTTTCCGAAGGTGTATTTTATAAATGACATTGAAATGAGCATCCTAGCATTACAGGCGTTATTGCTATTTCGTCTACCTCTTCTTCCTCATCTATGCTTCACTAACTGCCATTGCCGTTTCAACTTTTACTTCTTGTCACTTGCCCTTTACTGCTTCTAGTTGTACGTTCCGATGTTTTTTTCCAGTCGCGTGCCGATTTTAAGTTTTAAAATGCATGCAGATTTGGTGATGGGCCTGTTTACCGTGGAAATCAGGGAGTTCGATCTTGCCAGCTAAATTTTTTTACCTGCGCCCAATTTCCGTTAATATTAAACTTCTGTGGTAGTTGCCTTACTCGACGAAGTTTCTCTTACTCTTTGCTTTTTTGCTTCTTCGAAGAACGTTTTGACATCATTAAGCTTTACGCCATTCTATATCTTGCGCGCACATACAATGCCGTCCTCCTAATATGCACATTTTCAAATGTCTAAATTGTATTTTTCATGGGTCCATTTCTCAAGTCAGTCCAGTTCTGATTACTTCGTTAGTGAAAACAGACGTTCATTGCTATTCAGTCATTTAGTCTGGACCTGTAATATAACATGAAAGTTAAACGGAATCCCATATACACAACCATCTGCGTTCATGGCATGATACCAAAGCGGCTAATGACGCCTTTGGTCACACCTTTGTGCTCTTAATTGTCCGAGTAGCTTCTGTGCAAAGACATTTAAATTTAACACAAAGCAAACAGAGGCTTTCTTCTCGAGATAAAGGATAGCAGTTTATAACATCTGTACCTGAATTTGACCGTTGGGCAATTGCATTTTATGTACTAGCTGAAGAATCTCATCTATTTTTATAACTTTCAATAAACTTACTGCACTTCAGACACCGTCTACAAACTCAAACAACAAAAAAAGTAAAGAAACGTTCATGCTTAAAAAGGAGGCATAGGTGAGCTTATGGTTTATTAGTTACAACCTAGGACAATGGAAAAGATTACCGAAGTGCAAAGATCTGATAAGCAGTTACTTTGCAAATGACTAAGGTTAATGTTATCAGCTTAGATACTATAAAATAGTAACAACACTGAGTTTTGGGTCAGTTTTGTATTCTCTTTTTTGCGTATCTACATGTAAGGGTAAGGTGGTCAATTTGTTTGTATTGGCTTGTGCAGTTAAGCATAAAGTTAAGTTTTTGCATGGGGTCTCTTCGTTGTAATTTTCCAGTTCTTTTTGAGAAACCCAAGGGGGTTGATATTATTTATGGCAAGAATAAAAATTCATACGAGGTCACACGCAAGGAGGCTAAACATTTTCTGCGAAACAGAACTTTGTCTAAAGCCTTGTTAAAATTATGTCCGTTCTTAGTGACGAGCGACTGTTGTTCTAAACAATCATTATTTCCATTTTGCATCAATACTTTTAGTTAAATTCTTCATAATGCCAAGAGCACCATATAAGCCACTCTCATTAATTTTTCACCACAGATTTCCCCTAACTACTCAATTGGCAGTTATTTTGTGTATAATTTGAGTAGCTGTCCAAAATTCGCGACAGCTGAAACTACTTCCGCAGAATATCGCAGATATTCCACGCATATCTATTTAAGTCTTGCGATTTTCAGTGTGATGAAACAATTTATGACGTACTAACCTCGTCGTTGCGTTTAATGGTACAAGGAGAATTGATAAGGGTAAAACACTTACAGTAACACCTCGGTTAATGAGTTTAATCCATCCCGTCGCCGAGCTCATGCGAAACATAACCAATCAAACTGCATCAGTTCATTGATTGGCTGCAGTTGACCGAGTACGCCCGCCCTAGGAGCAAGTCCAAACAGCGGACACAGGCACACATACGCATCAACAACTCTTTAACTGAGCGGAAGCTTGTCAAGCTAAACAACTTTTCTGCTATTGGCTTGCTCTGTACTTGAAATGCTCGTATATGGGGCTGCCCGTCATCCAAAGCTCCTCTGTTCCTCGAAGGGATTGCGGTAACATATTGATTGTTAACTGTCTAGTACTTAAATAGAGCAGTCAAACATGTTAGGGATGTAAATGTTCGGTGAGATCTGTATCTGTGGGACACGAACAGTTATTACTAACAGAAAAGCCCACACATATCTGGCAGGAAAGCTCCAGCTGTTACTGCTATATATTTTGTGCCATCGAAAATAGGTACATAGGTTTGGGTTCCCAAGTTGCATTGATAGCCATTCTTCTAGGAACGTTTCGGAATACCTCTACATAGTACACGTTACTGTGAAATAGGGTTTTTCTCGCATTTCCCAGTTTTCTCAGGTCTTATCCCAATCTTTCATCAATTTAGTCTTTCGGCAATGATTCTCATTTCTTTTTTGTGGCGGTAAATTGGGTAGCATTCTGGATAACACTTCTATACTTCCACTTATAGCCTCTGCCGGTTGGGGCAAACTGCTACACTTGTCTATTGTTCGTTAAATATTCCCATTTTTTTAAATTGAAAAGTTAATTTGTTAGGCAAAGTATACTTTTCGGCAAATCATCTTCA